CTCAACACCATACACCACATGGATAAAGACATTCATTACGGAGGACTTTCATCCATTCTAAGGACCAAAGCAGGTGCAGTATAGGGCTCAACACCATACACCACATGGATAAAGACATTCATTACGGAGGACTTTCATCCATTCTAAGGACCAAAGCAGGTGCAGTATAAGTCTCAACACCATACACCACATGGATGAAGACACTCATTACGGAGGACTTTCATCCATTCTAAGGACCAAAGCAGGTGCAGTATAGGGCTCAACACCATACACCACATGGATAAAGACACTCATTACGGAGGACTTTCATCCATTCTAAGGACCACAGCAGGTTCAGTATATGACGTCACACTTTTCCCATGTAAATTTAGTATAGAGTCCTAAACTGAATGAAGCAGTAATGCAGACTCGGTGTCCAAAATTTTATCCACTCCAATTATAAAAACAAAATTGATTGAAAAGACCAAGGCAGAATTACTTCTTATGCAGTGTGAACACCCTGCTGTCTACAACCATGAGAGGTTTATTATAAATCATGTCTGTATACATTAGCAGGCCCAAGTTAGGCTTGGTATAGACCACATAATTAACACATTAGAAGAACCATGCCATACCCAGTGCATAACTCAATATCTTTCCACCACAGAAACCAACAAGGTTGAGTCGATAAAGATTCAAGAAACACGGAAGAAGTAACCCATAAGATTTATAAGGCAGACAGTGTCTTTGTCGCCTTGATTTGTAAGGCAGGCGGTGTCTTTGTTGCCTTGACTTATAATGAACCCGCTACCAGAGCATATTTTGTAAATGCAGGTATACTTGTTAGGCTTCCTTTATCTCGATACTTTGATCTTATCTTGCATTAGAATATGAAAACAAGTCAAATTATATATATAGTAGGGTTTTCTAAGCGTTTTTTCCGCCATTTCTCAAATATCTAAATTTTGACTTTCAGTTTTGTTTTTTCTGTGACAACTCATTTTGTGTAGTCAGCTCATTGTACTGTCTTTCAGTAAATGACTATTTACGGGAAAACCTTTTTATGAACTTAATATCTACATACCTTCATGATAATTTTCCTCATTCTAACTGATCTTAGACTTTCATGATAAGCACGTAGACCTTCCATAACATTAATTATTCTTGTAGTTTCTGTAGAATTATGCCTAGTGTTAAGAATAGTCGCATCGATCCAAGGCTACCTTGGTCTTCTTCTGTTCCCTATAAATTATATGCTCACGTTTGTAACTGCTCTGGATTCATTCGCATGAAGTGGCTGAACCATTTCAAACTCTGCTTTTCCACATAATTCAATACTGGTTTCAATCGAAGCAGTTGTCTAATTTTTTCATTTATTACTTCATCTAGTCTTGTATCAGTAAACGCTTTACAGGGGGCATCTTTTCACATAATGTCATACTTTGTTCGGTTCTCTTACTGATGATCCATACCTGGCATTGATGATTTGCATCTCAAGTTACTGAATACATCAGGGTGCACATAAACCCTCAATAGGTGTTCAGGTTAGAACTACAGTACCGTCTGTATCTTCTGTACTGTTGTGATTTCCCCTGTGAGGCACGTTTCTCCACCTTCCTACAAACTATGATTTTTTGTAGTGACGATTCCTTAAACAAATAGAGGAAGAAATCCGTCTTGAAGAATGGGCATGTTGACCTGCAGCGTTTTGAAGATGTTGGATGATCACAAACCTTGTGTCCAAACCATGACAATGAATCGTCCACGTTTGATGGTGGGTGAATCTTAATAGTTCAAGGATTTCTATTCTTGTTCTCTGGACCTACATGCTTCTTGAACAGTGTAATAATGAAAATTTGACTCAGTTGGCAAGGAATGTGTCACACCAGTTCACACGACGACCATTTTATTTTTTGTGATTACAGTCTTTTATTTGAGACATTTGTCCAATATGTATTTTTTTGCCACTCAGGTTGAAGGATGTTATTACTTCAAAGCAAAGGTTTGTTGTCAATCCCCTCTAATCTTCCGAACAACTGTGAATTATGTAAGTATTCTGACAGTAGAGAGTTTCTCGTGATATTTTTTTTTTGCAGTTGTGTAAAGCTTTTCATGAAACTGATGAGTTATCTGATACACAACTTCTAGTAAAATCCCAAGATTGGCTGCAACACAGTGTATACTATTGAGAAATAGAGGGTGTCACTTGCTGTCAAAGGTCACTGGTCTGTGGGGAGAAAGAAAACACAAACACTTATCTCTAGATCTTGTTTTCGTCACCTGGTAATCTCTGATATATTGGCAATACAAATCGAATCACAAGCAGAAGATAAGGTTATTTTTCTCAAGTAGATTTTTGTTGTTGTTTGTTCAAAGATAAATTTTCAGAGAAAGAATTTATTTTTTGAAAAAAAAGCTGAAAGTGATACATTTTTAGAAAAATAGAGCAAATGTTCTGTTCGTTAAGAAGAACCTGAATGTGAGATTTGAATCAAAAGGTCCTGGATTAGAAGCATGAAATTACTGAAACACAATTAAAACTTTCAACTGTAGCACTGTTAAACTCCAAGAGTCAATCTCCCTCTTTGGTCAAGAGTAGTTGTTTATCTTATTTCTGGTCAACAATTCAAAATTATAGGCATGACTGTTCTTGAGCCACAAGGGTCTCTCAACTACATGTTTAGCATTATAGTCAAGTGCGGCTAAAAATTAAATAAATACCAATACCAGTCATTAAGAAGAAGAAATGAATGAACATTATAATTTTTGACCTACATAGAGATCATAGGTCATGATGTCTATATTTGACAAATTATTAATATAACACTTAGCAAGGTTATGTTTGTTTGTTTTTGAATTTCGCGCAAAGCTACGTGAGGGCTATCTGCACTAGCCGTCCCTAATTTAGCAGTGTAAGACTAGAGGGAAGGCAGCTAGTCATCACCGCCAACTCTTGGGCTGCTCTTTTACCAACGAATAATGGGATTGACCGTCACATTATAACGCCCCCACGGCTGAAAGGGCGAGCATGTTTGGTGTGACGGGGATTCGAACCCGCAGATTGCGAGTCGAGTGCCCTAACCACCTGGCCATGCCGGGCCAGCAAGGTTATGACAGAACTTTTAACAGATATTATATATATGTGTGTATGTATGAACAACATCAATACGAGTAGCTGTTTTGAATTTTGACACACTAATAATATCCACAGATGATCACTAAAATTATATTAATTTAACTATTTAACAACAATATCGTAATTTATATGTGTGAATTCAAATGCTATAATCTCTGCATGCTACTCTTTAATCAACGAGCTAGATGTAGTCTCGTTATTAGAGTATAGGATATGCTACCCACTTTCAGCTAAAAACACGTTATAAAAGTGACGGTAAATATTGCTATTTAGTTTGAAAAGCTGGACAAAACCCTCGTGGCTGTAGGAGCTGCTGGTTGGTTGCCTTCCATTTGGCCATGAGTTTAAAATTAGGGACAGCTGATTTTGAATCCTACAAGTCTCTGACCTGACCATTTAGACCACGTGCACACAAGTGAGTTTTAGAATTCAAATTGTCAACAAACAACTTTTCTCTACCTTTTACTATTATAAGATAATGTTGCGTCAGCGAGGTCACGTGACTAGTATCACGCCACGTCCTTCTCGAACCTTCATGAATTATCGGGAGACTACTAGATTGGGGGTAGACTGGTATATATGAGACGCTCACAACTTGACGGAACAAGATAAAGAGTAATTGAACTGCAGTCAGAGAGTGTGTAATTGAACTGTTGGAAGTCGAGTACGTGAGACGTTTGTTATAGCGCGACTGTTGAAATTAAGTGTATCGCAAAGTTATATTCAGAAAGAATAA